AATTGAACGTTGTCATATGTTAATATAACGAGCCACAATTGCTGTCGAAAATACGGAAACTCCAACGAGCCTTTTTCGAGGAAAAACGAACGACCAAAACAATTATGCGACATAAGAGTAGAGAAGAGGTATGTTGTTTTATTTAAATTTAAATTGGAAGATTTTAAGTGGCAAAAAAAAAAAATTGAACATTGTCATACGATAATAAGCCGATTGTTTTATTTAAATTTAAATAGATGAACTGAAGTGCCAAAAAAAATTCATTATTTTAGTTATCAAATATTTAATTTTATGTAAGGCTTAATCTATAATCATATCATTATTTATAATAACATAACTAAATTGATATTCTATAACGTGGAGTAAATTAATAGTTTTACTGAAAATAACGTAAAATATTCAAATGATAAAAATTAATACAACAATATAATTTGTTTTGTAAATTAATTATTTAGTTCAATGATTGACCCGAAGAAGACTGACGAGATTGAAAACAGTGGGATTAAACAATAATATACGGTATACTATATATAGAATTAATTATGTTCAGACTTATTTATTGGCATTAGTGCAGGCAATATTGTGTACAGGTTACACTCCTCAAATATCTTAGCTGTCAACACACAACAAATACGTGACATGATAAGATTCAAACGTTTAGCCGTATATTGATCACTTTATAAATCTGAATTTTCAGAGGTTGGAACTTGGCAGTGCACTACATTACTCCTTTTTGTCCACATTACTCAATCCGCGCAAGTGTACTATCCATTTTTTTTTTTATTTATCTTTTTTGCCTAAGTGGGGTGAGGATGGTAAAATATATACAACTTGCATAAAATTTGTAATTTCCGTAAGTCGAACAACTACCGTACTATCACTTTTAATAAATTGCATTTTGTACAAAAAAACAAAAGGTTTATCTTAAAGAAAAATTCAGGCTAAAATTTTTATATGTGGAAATTTAACAAATAATTTAAATTTCAAACTCTCAATATCATATAAAAATATGTATAAATTTATTTCCTTTCATATAATGGGACTAAGTAAAATAAGCATGTGATAATTAAGTAATATTTATCCTTGCAATTTTGTAAATAATTTTTTTTCCAAAAAAAAAAAAAACTA